CCTAGACTCATCCCACTTCTTGTGCTTTTAGTCACTTGCTTCTAGCTGGCTTTCAAGAATCACCTGTCCTCATAGTTATGTGGCCAAGTAATACATTGTGAGACTCTCCCTAGGTTTGCTTGCAAGAACACTTCTAGCAGGCAGGTCCTGATGGTCACAAGGCCGGGGCTGTGTTTTCAGGAACTTGGAAGACACATTTGTTACTTTTGACTCAGGAAGGCTGAAAACTCTAGTCTCAGAGCCCACGAACACCAACATTCTCCAACATCCCCCTGTGAAGGTCCACGACCTTGGACTCAACATGCACAGACCACCGAGTGCTCCACTTCTCCACACTTTGATCATCTCCCCCCACACCTCAGACCACCCTGCTTCCTTTCCTCACAAATACCTTAGGCCTTATCCTCAGGGAGGTAAATCTGAGCCTTGCTCTCCAGTCCGTCTCATGTGCAAACTTTTTCTCTTTTGCAAAACTCATCATTTCGCTGATCTGCATACTCTGAGACGGGCAAAGCAGGCCCAGTTCATTTACACACTTGCAAAGATGGGTCTATTTGGGTGGTTGGGGAAAAGCACTGGATTTGGATCTCCTTTTGGAGCAGGCTCTGAATAATGATGGAAAGGTGTTCGGCTCAGAGTTTCTCCAAGAGAAGATGCCCATGTACCGATCTCACAGGGTCAGTCGTTCTGCAGTGTGACTCAGGGGCTGGTTGCGAAGGTGCCCACCGAACATGTCCATATCCACAGAGCTGCACACCCGACTGGGGGCCACTCTACGAGTATGCGCTCCACGCAAACACACGTCCTGCCGGTATCATTTGCCCTTGACATCTAAGGGGGATCTGTTCCACGCTGCATGGAAACAACAGAGTGATCAAAAGACCGAAGCTACGAGAAAAAGACATATTCAGAGCACATCAAGAAGTGGGAAAAGATGTATTCAGAGCACATGAAGATGTCGGATGAGCAGGGACAAGGGGAAAAAATGAGAACCGAGACCACCTGTCATGTAGAGATACAAGATCCCAATAATAAATGTAACTGCACTGTATAACTAAAACGTTCTAATAAGTTCAATAAAAGAAAAAAAACCTAGATTTCCAAAAAT